CGACCTAGCAGAGATACCGGCCCCAGCATATGGCGCATTCCACAAAAGCGCAAGCTTCATCTGCAGCATTTCTGGTGCAGGTTCCTATTCAAGACATCTGCAGAGCGGCGATGTAGTTGTCTATTCACATCTTTACGTCTCACTACACCGTCACACAGCAGGCTAGAGACAATGCCGCATTTGGCAGAGTGGTGCTGCAGTCTGCGACTTGGTGAACTCCGAGCCCTCCTAGGGATTGCTTGGGAGTGGAACCAGCTTGGAAGTATGTTCTTGTTTGTTCATGTTATGCTTTACATCATAGACTTGGTCTTGGGAGGGAGTGTGTGGTTCCTCCTAGGGCACTGAACTGCAAATGTGTAGGATGGAAACGTAAGAACATAAGAATGGCCATACTGGGTCAGACCAAAGGTCCATCCAGCCCAGTATCCTGTCTTCCGACAGTGGCCAATGCTTAGGTTCACACCCCAGAGGGAGTGAACCTAAGAGGTAATGATCAAGTGATCTCTCTCCTGCCATCCATCTCCACCCTCTGACAAACAGAGGCTAGGGACACCATTCCTTACCCATCCTGCTAATAGCCATTAATGGACTTAACCTCCATGAATTTATTGGGATTCACTAACTTGGACTCGAGATGTGTTGCTCATGGCCATTCCAAGACCCACCCGCCTCCCCTCTGTCGGAGTATCCGGCAAGAAGGAACTGAAGAGGTGGCGGGTCGGCAGGGACCTATATACATACACCTCCATGAAAGTGCGACTCCCGGGGGCTCTACAGCCAACCCGACAGGTACCACTAAGGGAAAAACCTTCCGGCAACTGTGCATCCGGCACGCACACGCCTATTTGGAATGGATGCAAGTAAGGCTATGTTTTAGTCACAGATATTTTTAGTAACAGGTCATGGGCAATAAACAAAAAGTCACGGCCCCAAGACCTGTCCATGACTTTTGCTAAAAATACCTGTGACTAAATCTTATCCTCTGGGAGGGGGGGCGCTCCTGAAGACGGCTGTTGGGGTGGGGGGCAGCGCGGGGCGATGCTTCTGCTGGGGGAGGCGGCCTGGGGCCCTGCTGCTGCTGGGGGGGGGCGGCCCGGGGCGCCGTGCTGCTGCTGCTTGGGGGGGCAGCCCGGGGTCCCCTGCTGCTCCCACTCCGGGCAGGGGGCAGCCAGGGTCCCTGCCGCCACTGCCGCTGGTCCTGGACTGCTGTTCCAGGGCAGCTTCCCCAGCTGCTAGGGTGGTCCTGGGGTCAGCCGCACCAGCACTGCAAAATTCACGGCGGTCATGGAAAGTCACGGAAGCCGTGCCCTCCATGAATGATTCGCAGCCTTAGACATGAGTAACACATCTCGAAGAACAACACTTACAAAAGGTAGGTAACCGGGTTTTTTTATGCAATGTTCTCGCTAAGAGTGACTACTTCATACAGTTTCTCACTTGTCTTATGTGTTGAAACTGTACTTAATGGATGCCTCTGGGCTTCCAGCTTATCATAGAAGAAGCAGGTGTCCCTCGTGAACACATGCCATGGGACCGTAGTATAAGGCGAGTCTCACGCACAGCTGGTATTTTTCCTGGCATATTCAACCTTTTTCCTGATGCTTGATGTACTTCCTCTCCAATCTTGCCAAATTCAGTTATGGTGCACTTTTTATGTAGAGTGCCACCAAGCATTTTGTTAAACAGGTCCTCCGTGCTGGTATTCTCCAAAGATGCTAGTCGGTACTCTTCATCTTCCCATGGAAGCCTAAAAATGATCAAGACCAAAGTAAATACTGATTTTGTAATCAATTACTTTGGAATTGTAATTAATTATGGTAAGGAATGTATGTTATATAACTACATGAATACCGTTTGCGGACAAGGTGCTAGCTCTTGCCAAGGCTGTAAGTGTCAGCTGAACATTGACAGATTCATAGCTGGAAACCAGACCAACTCACCTTTGTTAGTATTGGTCAAGCTAGGTGTTAGACTTGTAAAGATGTGTTTAATGTTTAGACCAGGGGTCGGCAACCTTTCAGAAGTGGTGTGCCGAGTCTTCATTTATTCACTCTAATTTAAGGTTTTGCATGCCGGTAATACATTTTAACGTTTTTAGAAGGTCTCTTTCTATAAGTTTATATTATATAACTAAAATATTGTATGTAAAGTAAACAAGGTTTTCAAAATGTTTAAGAAGCATCATTTAAAATTAAATTAAAATGCTGATCTTATGCCACCAGCCTGCTCAGCTCGCTGCCAACCTGGGGTTCTGTTCACCTAGGCCAGCAGTGGGCTGATCAGGGCCTGCGGCCGGGACCCCAGACCTGGGGGGGGCGGGTTTCAGGGGTCAGGGCAGAGGGCTGGGGGGTATATGGGGGGGGTGTTCAGAGATCAGGGCAGAGGGCTGGGGGGGGGTGCAGGGCAGAAAGCTGGGTGTGGGGGGGGTTCAAGGGTCAGGTCAGAGGGCTGGGGGCTGGGGGGGGTGCAGGGCAGAAGGCTGGG